TACGATGGGGTAGGGGGGGGGGGAGGAGGGTGATCAGCACGTGAACGCGTGTCTGCCCTAAGACTGATCAGGTGGTTTTACTGAACCCTGTCAGGGCCATTATCATGGTTTCTGGCAGAGTGATTGATATAATCACCTTGATTAGGTTTGTTTCTAATTTAATCATTCGTTATTTTATTGTTCCCTTTTTTCCCCTATACTGTAGAAAGTAAAAGTAAAACTCTGTGATTAGCTAACTGTTCTGATGTTTAAACTCTTGAAAGTGAATGATGCGGCATAAACTGATTCAGAGAAAACAGACAGAAAGGACCTACTATGAAGAGGCATTCAGACCTTTGGGCTGCTCTTCATTATGCTGTTAATACCTATAGGGAAACATTGTTCTTGGAACTGATATATACCTGCCCAGAGTCTATAAAGCTGGCTTTATAGACTCTTTATGAGGCTTTCTACTTGAGTACATTTTAAAATTTTATTTTTAATTAGTTAACTATGCTCAAGTCTTATTGCTCAATTTTTTTAAGCCTTGGTGGGACATTAGTGGGGAAAAGACGTTTACCTGTATGGACTGGAGAGTGGACAGAGGACAGTGAAACCTTGAGAATAGAAAAACATTATTTCACTTACCAATTGTCTCTAAGATGTGAGTCGGATACAAATGAAATTGGACACTGAGAAACATAATGTTTAATATAATTATCTATGAATCATCTAGTTGCTACTATCCATCCATTTATGCATCCATAACCCAGTACATTCTGTGATTATGTATTTATTTAATTGGGTGTTTACGTTATTTCTCACCACAGCAGTCCTGTGGACCAAGCAATATGAAACTTATATTTTCTCTCTCTGTTAGGCTCTAGTGGGCTTTTGACAGGCTGGGACATTAATATTACAAATATTCAAATAACTTTATTTAACATTCTGCAGGCTGACAGTGGCAGCGGGAGATTCACAGCCCATTGAGCAAGTGTGCTTCCCTGGGCTAAGTGCCGATTCATCATGGCTGCCTTACTCCCATCTAATGCCTGCTGCAACACGCACACATGCACTGACACACATAAACACACATCTTGGGCATGCATTCAGAAATAGTATTAATTCTTCCATGTGTGCATTTTTCATATGTTAAATGTAGTGTTCCAGGTACATTTATCACATTATTAACCCTAGCCTTCAACCTTATAAACCTCAATATATAACCCTATAGAGTTCCTGCTTTGGCTTACTGCTCTGTATTAGATTGGAGAATCTACTATAATTGAAATAACAGACAAAATTCTTCAGAAAATAAAAATAACATGTAGTGAAACTCTTTAGACATTCATTTATTTCAAGCTTTTTTTAATCTGAAGGTTTTTCACTCCAATGAGGTTTTGATTACTTCCTTTTCTTCATGTCTTATCTGAGTGTAAAGGACTTGGCAGACAGGACGCACAAAGGCCCGGTAAGTTCTTAGAGCCAA